GCGTGCCTGTAGTTCCAGCTACTTGGAAGGCTGAGGCGGAAGGATCGCCAGAGCCCAGCAGGTCGAGGCTGCGGTGGCCAGGAGCGGCCACTGCACTCCAATCTGGGCAACAGAGTGAGACTCCAACTCAAAAAAAAAAAATTAGGTGGGCATAGTGGCATGCACCTGTAGTCCCAGCTACTCAGAAGGCTGAGGTGGAAGTCTCACCTGAGCCCAGGAGGTAAAAAGGCTTTGGTGAGCCGTGATTGTGCCACTGCACTCCACCTGGGCAACAGTGAGTCGCTGACTCACACAAAAAAAGAAAAAAGCATTTTATAATCTGGCATAGAATGCAGTACAGATCCTTAGGGACTAGAACAGGGCATTTTAATTTTTAAAATGAGAAGGTAAATGTTAGTTTTTTGGAGATTCTAATCCTCTCACTAAGCTTATCCCAATTATTTTATTTTGGTTAGTTGTGCAACTTTTTTTGTTTCTTAACAAATAACTTCTTAGTTTTTATCTTAAACATCAAGTCATATGAGGAGGAACCACCCCCCCAAAAAACAATTATTTTTTGGAGTGTGGGCCCCTGCTAGTAGTATAAGCTTCCCCTGCTAGGGTAAATATTCTAGGAACCTATCAGCATCAGTGTATCAGCTAGTGTTGTGAGAAGCTACCTTTGGCTTCAGTGAATTTTTCTTTTTTTGGGATAGTCTTTCAACATGTTTGCCGATTTCATGATGGATAATTTATAAGTGCACCTGCCCACACTGTACTGAGCATTCAGCAGTTTTTGACCAAAAGCAACATGACCCCCATGCTCTACCCTCGTTATTCACCCATTCTCGCTCCGAGTGACTTTTTGTTTCTCTGGATAAAAAAGTCCTCAAAAGGAATCGTTTTGCCAGTATGGAAGAGGTGAAATAAACAGAAGCACTAAAAGGCATCAAAATTGACGAGTTCAAAAACTGTTTTGAGCAGTGGAAAAGTGTCTTGATAGGTGAAATTGCATCAAACGGAGAGTACTTTGAAGGTGACTGAAGTTTAAGCATGTAAGAATAAATACACAACTTTTTACAAATAAATTCCAGGTTTTTTTGGTTCTCCCTTGTACATTTTAAATTTAAAAAGCAGCAGCAGTACTATACTAAGTATAGTATAATTTAAATGTGTCCAAGTATAGAATCATAACTTCAATTAATTTGCTAACACTAACTTTTTTTTTTTAAGTTAGAGTCTCATTCTGTTGCCAAGGCTGGAGTGTGGTAGCACACTCACGGCCACCACAACCTCAACCTGCTGGGCTCAGGTGATTCTTCCACCTCAGTTTTCCAAGTACTGGAATTACAGGCACGTGCCACCATGCCCAGCTAATTTTAAATTTATTTTGTGATGCAGTCTTGCCAAGTTGCCCAGGCTGATCTCGAACCTGTGGGCTCAGGCAATCCTCTCACCTCAGCCTTCCAAACTATTGCGGTTATAGGTGTAAACCACTGTGCCCAGCCCTAACACTAACTTTTTAAAAACCTTGCAAATAGCCTGGGCACAGTGGCTTATACCTGGAATCTAAACACTTTAGGAGGCCAATGTGGGAGGTTCGCTTGAGCCCAGGAGTTTGAGACCAGCCTAGGCAACAGAATGAGACCTCTTCTCTACAAAACATAAAAAATAAGCCAGGCATGGTCATGTGTGCCTGTAGTCCCAGCTACATCAGAGGCTAAGACAGCGGGATCACCTGAACCCAGGAGGTCAAGGCTATGATGAACCATGATTGTGCCACTGCACTTCAGCTTGGGTGACAGAATGAGACCCTGACTCAAAAAATAAATAAATAAAATAGAAAACTTACAAATACTCGAAGGGAAAACATTTTAGGTAGTTGAGATTAGAAAAGCAGTTTCTTTGAACATGGAGCCTCCATAGCAGAAAAGATGTACTTATCTTACTCATTCTATTAAAATTTAGTAGCCATATAAGAAAGCACATACTCATTTATCCCAAATGCTTTTCTATTTTTAATGGGCATCCACTTGAAAACAAATATTAATTTTGATTTCAATTTAGTTTGAAATATTTTTCCAACTGCCTATTATATTCCAATTAAATGCTAGATCTGGTAATGCTTTAAAACTATAGGAATAGTTAAAGGCTCTACTCAGAAAAATTAGAAATACTTTACAGAAGGAATCCAGAGCATTGGAGAAGCCAACTTAAAAATTTGACTTTAATGTCTTACTAATTATCAACAGGCAGCTGTTCTGACTTTGGAGGAACACGAACGCTGCTTCCAAATGCCTCTCCTGCTCTTCTTTCTTCATACTACTAATACAGTGTTAATGTTGTCAATTAAGAAATATTTACAATAAGCAGAGCTTGTTGTATAAAACTGTATCAATAATATATTCATATCTCAGAAAATACTATATTCATTTCACTTTGCTTATTTAAAACCCAGACATGTCCTAAATGTGGTTGAGGTATACAGGTTTTCCTGATTATCAAGTTTCTCGATTTTATTTTGAGATGGAGGGGAGTGAAACAAAAAGGGAAGTTTCTAAAGGAATTGTTGAGAGGAAAAATAATATACACCCAAAACAAAACAAACAACAGTTGGCATGTCATGATCTGCAGCCTGAAGAAAGGGCTCACCTATATGTCTCTGGACTTAGCATAAGCAGTTTTTCCTTCAGAAATAAAATCTTATCAGTTGCCACAAAATCCATGAACCATCTTGCTGAATAGAACTTTACTTTTTTGCTTCTATTTGGCAAGTTACTCATAATAAAAATGCATTCAAACACTCTTAGCCCCCCAAAAAGAGTCACTGCCTTCAAACTAAAGATCTCTGGATCCTGTAATCCCAGCACTTTGGGAGGCTGAGGTGAGGGTATTGCATGAGCCCACAGATTTGAGAACAGGCTGGGTAACTTGGTGAAAATTAGCTGGGTGTGGTAATGTGTGCCTGTAGTTCCAGCTACTTGGAAGGCTGAGGTGGAAGGATTGCCTGAGCCCAGTAGGTCAACACGGGTGGCCATGAGCATGTAATAGGACTGCATTCCAGCAACAGGGTGAGACTCCAACTCAAAAAAAAAAGATCTTGGAATCACTTCTAAAAAACTAATTAGCGTACCATTTAAGAGACTATTGTCATTTCATATGACAGCTGGCTGTAATTTCAGTTAATTTATAAATAACTTTAAAACCTTATGGCTGGGCACAGTGCCTCATGCCTGTAATCTCAGCACTTTGGGAGACCAGGGTGGGAGGTTTGCTTGAGGCGAGGAGTTTGACATCAGCCTGGGCAACATGCTGAGACTATCTCTTATTTAATTTTTTTAAAAAGACTTTATGAATGAAATGCACCATATTATACCTGTGTAAAAGTGATCATGTTTAATTATGGACTAAAGATGACTAACACATTGAGCCTGAATTAGAAAAATTAGTCGAAATAAATTGCTAAGGAATTTTACGATGAGAGTGGTCAATGAAAATTTTTCTCTACATACAATATGATTATTAACATACAAGTAATTCTTATTTGGAATGATAAGGCAAAAAGAGTAAAACCACACTTTTCCTATAAAAAGATATCCAATATCTTCTGCAGGGATAGTGATGGCACATGAAGAGACAAAGAAGATGTGATCACTCTATTGCACACCCAGAAACACAAGGGAGGCCAGTCTTAGAATGGTCTGGCCATCTTCCTCCTAATCTTCGTCAGCATCTTGTTTCCTCTTCTCCCTCGAAAACTTTCCTTCCCCTACTCCAACACAGTCATCGTCTTCTTCCTCCTGAACTTCCTTTATTAAGTATGAGAGACCCGTTTCTTCCCCTTCCCAATTCTGAACCTGCTTCACCTTCTTCTCTTCCCCTCCTCCTCCCCCTCCTATTTTCTTCAGGTGGATCAGCTGCATCTTCATCTCCATCTCGATCCTCATCCACTTCAGAGCCTGGTGGTTCCTTATCCTTCTGATCAGCTCCATCTAAGTAACTGAGCAACAATTCGACAAACGCCTTCTCTGAATCTTCTCCTTTTGTGATCTCACAGGTAAACAAGTGAAGACTCCAGATTTTTAGGATTTTTGTAGAGCTTCTGCACTGAGATCTTTGATTTTGTTTCTACTCAGATTGAGGTAGGACTTCTAAGCCTCCAGAAATCATATTGTCATTAAGCTCCAATTTTTGAAGTTTCCTTAAGCAGGGAAGCTGGGCCAGTCACCTTAATTCTACATCAGCCATATTCAGAAACTCTAGTTCTTTAAAAGTATTATTCAGGCCTTCAACTTTCCCATTGGCACACAGGTAATTATTGGGACTAACTCTGTCACCTCCGGGCTCTGTCCCTAATCTCTAGGTTAAGCCTCTTTTTCATCTCCATGTCCTCCTCCTGCCCTGCTGCTACTCTCTCTTCCCTTTATCTTTTCTTCCTTTCCTATTACCCTCAACCCTAAAAGTTTAAGAGATTTGGAAATGAATGAGGATAAATGCAAATATAAATACCCACTACCACCTGATAGTTGTGGGGGAGAAAGAAGAGAATAGCAAATGGAGTCCAAGGAGTTGGGACTCACTCAGCTGCCCTCACCTCCTTGTATTCGCGTATGTATGTGCTAATCTTGAGCTGCTGGCCTCAAGCAATCCTCCCACCTGGACCTTCCAAAGTACTGGGATTACAGGCATGAGCCACTGCACCTGGCCTAATCTTTTTCGTTTTTGAGTCAGTGTCTTGTTCTGTTGCCCAGGCTGGAGTGCAGTGGCATGATTATGGCCTGCTGCAGCCTCAGACTCCAGGGCTCAGGTGATCTTTCCACCTTAGCCTCCCGAATAGCTGAGACACAGGTACACATCACTACACCTGGTTAATTTTTTTTTTTGTAGAAGCAAGTTCTTGCTGTATTGCCCAGGCTGATCTTGAGCTTCTGCGCTTGAGCAATCCTTCCACCTTGGCCTCACAAAGGCCCTAATCTATCTTAATGTCATATGATTAACAACTTTAAATCCTCCCTGCCATGTAAATAACAACATATTCATGGGTTCTGGAGTTTAGGATATGGACATCTTGGGGAGCCACTATTCTGCCATTTGCATCTGGCTTTACCTTTTTTTATTTAAATTTTTTTTTCTTGAGTTGGTGTCTCGCTCTGTTACCCAGGCTGGAGTGCAGTGGCATGCTCATGGCCACCACAGCCTTGACCTGCTGGACTTGGGCGATCCTTCTGCCTCAGCCTTCCAAGTAGCTGGAACACGGATGCGCCACCACACCTAGCTGATTTTTTTATTTATTGTAGAGATGAGGTCTCGCCATGTTGCTCAGACTGGTCTCAAACCCCTGAGCTCAGGCAGGCCTCTCACCTCTGCCTGCCAAAATGCTGGGATCACAGGTGTGAGCCACTGTGCCCAGCCTTTGTTTTACTTTTTTACTGGAGCATGACATAATATGGGGAAGGTGCCCACATCACACCTCTAGGCCAACCTGGTGTCAGGGTTGGGACAGCATGCAGCAAAGCCGTGTCTGTACAGAGAGGGCTGGATACCAGGGCAAAAAGGTAGTTTTGCCAGAAAGGAGGAGAAGGGGAAACATTGTTCATTCAGTGTGTCTGCTGTGCTCTTGCTGTGGGCTAAGGGTACAGTAGTGATCAAGGTGGACAGAAACCCCCACTTTCAGTGAGATCCCAGTTAGTAAGGCTAGATAAGGCAGATCACCAAATCAAATATCCATCCTCCTGGTGATGGATGTTGCAGCCATTTCCAGTTTGGAGAGCAGATAGGTTTCTTTGCATCTAGGGGGACACCAGTGATATGTTGCCAAGGAGAAACCAAGTCTCACTGATAGGAGGGCTGGCTTGAGCAGACCTCCATGTGGTAGCTTCTCCTCGGTTGCCATCTGTTATTGTAAGAGGCCGTTTTTGCCAGGACCTGGGCATGGCGCTGCCCCCCCCCCCTTTTGAGTTGGATTCT